AGAGCGTTTTTCTCCCTCTCCCTCGCTGTCACTTCGCTCCCCTCCCTTTCAGCACCGCCCACCGCGCTGTCACCGCCGGCAGCGGGGACTTTCCTCGGGCCCACGAAGGTCCCCGAGCTGTTACCGCGCTGCAAACACCGAGTACAAGGTTCCTCCTTGATGTGAGGAATGAAACGGGGTCGGAACTGGAGGGAAAAATGTTCATTTCGGGATCTCGGGGGTTTTCCCTGGAGTTGTTTGCCTGGGAATTGCTGGGGAGGAGAATGGGGGGATGCTGAGGAGCTCGGGTGCTGCTGGTGGGGGGATTCATGGAAAAACACGGATCCAGCATCCCAAAATTCCCCTCATCCTGCCCAGGGATGCTCGGGAAGAAGCAGTCCAGAGGCTCCTCCTGGGCTGACACAAATTTGGGGGGTTTAATAACGGGCCCTAAACAAATTTAAATCCTGCCGTGCTTCCAACCGGGAATGTGCAGGGATGGGGAAGGGAAGGGCTCCGAGGCACTTTGGTGATGAATTCTGTAGGTGAGCAAACAATTTCATCTCCTAATTACAGCCATAAAGCAAAAATCCCTCCCAATCCCCAAATTCCTCCTCTGGCGTTTTCCCTTCTCCTGTCAAGGCCCTTTTCCCTGATGAAGGAGCTGCTTAATTAGGAATTAACGGGGCTGTTGGAGTAATTGTGAGCAGGAATGGTCTAGGAGAGGTTCATTAGTGTGGTGATGGGTAATTAGCAGTTGCGTGGCTGCGGGAATTTTTTTGGGGTCTCCAAAGGCCTTGGAGTGAGGGGAAAGCCGGGAGCAGAGCAGGGAATTGGTGTGGATGCCATGGGACCGGGATGGGACCGGGATGGGACCGGGATGGGACCTTTTCCACCAGCATCCCAAACTCCAGGCAAGAATCCAAGCCTTGAACATGCACCTCTGGCGGCTGCAGCCCAGGGAGGAGCAGGGAGAGGGAAAAGAGGGAGAAAAAGCAGGAAAAATCCCTTCAATCCCCTTTCCAGCAGCTGTGGGATCATCCCCAGCTCGGTGGTCCCCCTGCAGTGCCCCCAGGACACCCCGGCATTCCCGGCAGAGCCTCTCCAGGGTTTATTTACCCCCGAGCACCGCCAGTCACATCGCTGCTGCTCCTCTCCCTATATTTAGCCCTTGAATGGAGAGAGATTTTACAGACGCCTGACTCTGCCTTGCGCTCCAAAGTCACTCAGTGTTTCCATGAGAAACCCGGCGGCTCCAATCCGGAGCTCCGTGACAAAATCCTTCCCCAAAATCCTTCCCCGCGTATTCCAGCGGCGCTGATTTACCCCGTCCGCCCCCTCCGGGGATGAGATCAGGATCTGGCCCCGGGTTTTGATGGGTTTGTAACTTGGCTGATACAACTCGGCTGATTTAATTCATTTTTTGGGCTAAAAAACTCCACCTACAAGTTCCCAGCCTGGGAGGCATTAAAAGCAAATTAATCCAAATATTAGAGGCTGGGTTTAAAGGGAAGGATGGGACCAAGCCAGATTTTTTTTTTCTTTTTTTCTTTTTTTTTTTCTTTTTTTTTTTTAAGGGAAGAGCCTGGGGGAGAAGTTTTCTATTTTGGGGTTATTTATTTTACCTTGGTGCTGCTGGGTCTCCTCGAGGCCTGGCGCTGCCCACTGCTCTGCTTCACTCCCAGAGCAGCCAGAAAAGCACTGGGAGAAGAAAAGAGTTGGCAAAAATCAGGATAACAGCTGAGATTCTCATGGGGATTTAGGGCCTTGTTGGAGAACTTGGGAGCTGCCGGTCACTGGGAGAGTTTGGCCTTTGGGATGTGGTGGGGATCCAGAGGAGCCTGCAACAGGTGCTGGGTGCAAGGGACAAGAGAATCCATCTGGGAATCCATCCAGGAATCCACCTGGGAATCCACCCAGGAATTGACCTGGGAATCCACCCAGGAATCCACCCTGGAATCCACCCAGTAGTTCACTCAGGAATCCATCCGGGAATTCACCTGGGAATTCACCCGGGAATCCATCCAGGAATCCATCCAGGAGTCCACTCAGGAATCCACTTAAGAATCCCTCTTACATCCAGGAGAGAGCTTCTGGCTGGATCCTGGCTGGGAAAGAGGATTTGATCCCTGCATCCCCAGCCAGAGCCATGGAAAAAAGGGAATAAATCCCAATCCAGTCGTGATCCAAGGAGGATGAGGAGGACAAAGGCTCAGCACGGCCCTGCAGGGACCTCCCGGTGGGATCCAGAATCTCCCTCAGAGCTCTCCTGCGAGCTCCTGACAAGAGCCAATCCACCCTGTCCCCATTGTCACCCCAAATCCAGCCTGTCCCCAGTGCCACCCCAAATCCAGCCTGTCCCCCTTACCACCCCAAAATCCAGCCTATCCCCATTGTCACCCTCCAGCCTGTCCCCAGTGCCACCCCAAATCCAGCCTGTCCCCGTTACCACCCCAAATCCAGCCTGTCCCCACTGCAACTCCAAAATCCATCCTGTCCCACTGCCACCTCAAAAACCAGCCTGTTCTCATTGTCACCCCAAATCCAGCCTGTCACCACTATCACCCCAAACCAGCCTGTCCCCAGTGCCACCCCCATGGCTGTGACACCTGGAGCAGCTGCTGGGATGTCCCCTCCTGCAGCTCCGGGCTGGCTGGGTGGGACACAAGTGGCAGCTCTGCCGGCTCAGGAGTTGTGTCCTTCTCCTCCCTGCTCCGGGTGCAGCGTGGGGACACCTCTGTCACCACCCCGGCGGTGGCCAAGCCACCAGGAGGAGCAGGTGGCCTGTGGCTGAAGGGGGTGGAGCAGGAGGGAAGCAGAGACACACACAGAGGGTCCCAAAATATTCTGTGAAGGAATTTTTCCCATCTGCGGCGTGTGGGGACAGCTCAGTGCTGGCTTGGAGGTGACACTTCTGCTCCTGCCAGGATTTTTCCCTTTTCCTCCATGTGCTTCTCCTTAAACGTGGCCTGGAAGAAGCTCTGGGGCTGTTCATGGTTCTGTTCAGGAATCACCACACATGAATCACATTTCCCACACGGATTTTGGCTGCTCCCTCCCGCAGCCACTGCCCCGGGTGGAAAATCTGCTTTTCCCCCATTTCAACCCAAACCCAGGAGCCTGAGGAGGCTGCAAATTCCCAGCATAGCCGAGCTGCCCTGCTCACACGGCTTCCCTGAGGCAGGAAGGCTGATTTCCTTCCAGGAGCCCGAATCCAGATGGTCAGAGATTCCTTCCAAGCTCCCAGAACCTGTTGGAAAAGGCCATTATGTCTCAATAGCAGTTTTGCATTGGAAGTGGTGCCTGCCAGCTGCTCCAACACCTCTTTTCCAAGCTGTTCCATGCTCACGGAGAACCAGTCTGGTCAGGGCTGGCAGATTTTGGTGGAGGAATAAAAATCCCTGGGTTTATTCCCATTTTTTTGTGTCAGGCGAACATGGAGCAGTTCAGTGGAAGAGGCCTGAGTTTGGTTTTTGAGACTCGTTTGTCCTTGTCATGAGAATCCTCAGCCCTGAAATATTTTATTTTCAGTAGGAATATTTTATTTTCAGTAGGAATAACCCTGTGAACTCCCAAGGAGGAATTCCAAGCCCCGGGCACTTTCTCCTTCCCAAAGCAAAGCTCGGGGCCAGGTCATGCTCCAAAGGATGCGGAGATGGAATTAAATCCAACATGGGCAGCTCTGATGTCACTCAGGTGACTCCAAACAACATTCCCTGCTCCAAAACAACCCCTGGATCAGCTCAGCTGATCAGGAAGATCCATCCTGGTGAGCTGAGGGATGGATTTTCCTGGAAAATGGAATGGAAATGAATTCCCAGACTTGGGCTCCACATCCAGGTCCGGCTCGGCCTGTGCAGCACCTCAGGGCCTGGGAGCCTCGGGAATGTGGAATTATGGAGGTGCAGGCCCCCAAGGGGGGAAAAAACCCTTGGGAGCGCTAATGAGGGGCTAATGAGTGGTTAATGAGGGGCTGTGGCCGCAAGGGTGTAGCCCTGGTTTAACTGGAAGCGCTGGAGCCCAAACTGGGCCTCAGGGAGGGGATTATTGAAGGCGCCCCCTCCCAGCCCTGCTGGCCCCGAGGGCCAAAGCTTTTTCCTGCCTTTGGAAAGGATTCCATGAGGAATTTTATCCGTGTTCCTTTAGAAAAAGGGGTGACGGTGGGATCTGGGGTGGGGGGGTTGCTCATGCTGGACCCTGGTGGCTCTCAGGGTGGCAGCGCCCCCAGAGTGATGGTGGCCCATGAGGGGACAGGGTGGCTCAGACCAGGATCAACCCCAAAACCGCTAAAACCCCCCAAGAAAACCCCAATTTTGCCACAGGTCACAAAGTTCCTTCTGCCTCCGCCACACCTGGAGCGGGGAGAGGGTTGGGCATGAGTGTGCCCTCTCTTTTTGGGGTGCCCACACTGTCCTGGAGGTGTCCCCACACTTTTTGGGGTGCACACCCCACTCTGCCCTGAGGGTGGGGTCTCCACATTGCCCATCGGAGTCCCCAAACTGCTTGGGGGCACCTGGGGATGCCCGTGGGGGTCCCCACATTATTTGGGGTCGCACCCCCTGCTCTGTCCCTGGGGTCCTCCCACTCTTTGGGGTGCAAACATTCTCTTGTCCTGGGGATCCCCAAACTTTCTGGGGGTGCATCCCCCCACCTCTAACCCGGGAGGGTCCCCACATTGCCTGGGGGTGCAAGTACGGGGATGCCGGGGGGGTCCCCAAATGGCCCGGGGGTGTCCTCACCTTCCTGGGGGTGCACCCGCCGCCCTGTCCAATGTGTCCCCACCCTGCCCGGGGGTGTCCCCATATTGCCTGGGGATGTCCCCATTCTTCCCGGGGGTGCGCCCCCCCACTCTGCCCATGGGCTCCTGCCCCAGTTTGGGGTCCTCCCACCCCGCTGTGCCCTTCACCCCGTTCCTTTCCCCGTCCCCCTTAAGCAGCCGTCGGGGCGTGCAGCCACCTTAAGGGAGCCCCTCCCCCGGCGGGCTGGGACGAGCCCTCCCCCTCCCTGCCCGCCGTCCCCTCCCTCGCCGGCCCGGCCCCGCACGGCCCCGCACGGCACGGGGGTTGCCATGACAAGCATTTTCTCCCGTTAGCTCCGGGACCGCTCCCCCTCCATCCCATGGCCAGTCGCGGGGGCTCCGCCGCCAGCCGGGCGCCGTGGGACCGGAGCCGGTGAGTGCGCGGGGGGACCCCGGCAGCGGGGTTCGGCGGTCCCGAAGGGGGTTGAGGTGTTGGGGACACTGTGGGGACGCACGGGAGTGGCGTGGGGCGGCCGCGGAGGGGGGTTTTTGTAGGAGCGGGGGGCGCGGGTGGGTGGGAGCATCGCTGCCCCCGCCGTGCGGGCGGGTGGGGCGCGGGCAGCGGGGATTTCACCGCCCCGCTCCGTCCCGGTGCAGCAGGTGGGATGGGGGGGGGCTCGCTGTGGGTTCCTACATCACGGGGGGATCGGCGTGGGACCCCCCCCCGACCCCAATCGCACGTGGGAGGGGTGGGGTGATGTGGTGAGCGCGGTCCGGCCGCTCTGGGGCGTGGGCGGCTGCGGGGCGTGCAGCCCCCAAACGTCTTGTGGGGGGCAAGTCCGGCAGCCCCCCCCCCCCCCCCCCCCCGGTATTTGGGGTGGGGAGGACGCTCCGGTCGGATCCTACAACTTGTTGCCCGCCCTTGAGGCGGCTGGTGAGGGGCGCGGGGTTCCCGGTCGCGCGTGTTGCTGGATTTTTTGGGAGGCAGCGAGTTGTGGCATTGCGGGGAGGAGGAGGATGAGGATGATGGAGGAAGGAAGAGGCGGGGGAAGGGGAGGGGGGCTTGCGGCAGCCCAAGGACAGAGCGGGGAAGGTGCTGCGTGGGTGGGTTTGGGGTGGTTTTTGCCCACTCGTGGGGCAGCAAAGGGGGCTGCTCCCTGCCTGGAGTGGGGTGACTCGGGTG